CTCGTCCCTGCCTCCCTAACCTGTTCTTCCTCCCACCTATCCCCTCCTCCCACCTCAAGCCGCACCTCCATCTCCTACCGACCAACCTCATCCCGCCCCCTTGACCTGTCCGTCCTCCCTGGACTGACCTATCCCCTTCCTAACTCCCTACCTACACTCACCTTTCCTGGCCCCATCCCCGCCTCTTCGACCTGTTTGTTTCCTCTCCACCTATCCTCTCCTCTATCCCTCTTCTATCCGCCTCCCACTCTCTCCCTATTTATTTCAAAACCCCCTTCCCCTCCCCCTTTTCTGATGAAGGGTCTAGGCCCGAAACGTCAGCCTCTCTGCTCCTATGATGCTGCTTGGCCTGCTGTGTTCATCCAGCCCTGCACCTTGTTGTCTCGGATTCTCCAGCATCTGCAGTTCCTACTATCTCTGTTTAAAATTATAAATGTTTTGACAGAGTCGACAAAAAGAATACATGATTACAACTAAGACTAAAGGCCATCAAAATAAAGCAACCACAAAGAAATCAAACAGGGAATTCGGATGAAGCTTCTTAAGCCAGAGATTGGTGAGAATGGGGAACTCACTACAAGACAGGGAGTAGTTGAGGTGAACGGCATGAATACACTTGCAGTAAGGCTGGATAAGCTAATGAGGGTGAAAGGAGAAGAATTTATGCTGATGCATTCAAATGTAGAATAAGTGGAGCCCTTAAGTCAGAAAGGATCTGAAATAAACAAGAACAGAAACTGCTATATATATATCTGAAAGAACAGGTCTATGGCATCTATGGAGAGAGAAACCAAATTGACAGTTTGAGTCCAGTGACCCTTCATTGTTTTGCTTTATTTATGCCAGCATGGATCAGCTGGGATAAATATATTATTTCTGCATTATATTTTCTATGTATTTCTAAGGACAAGGAGAACTTTAGCTTACCTTGGGCTGTTAGCCTATTACTCGGAGATTCAGGAATAAGAATAGGAGACACAGCTGAATTCTGCAACAGCCCCTGGAAATCAGGTGTACTACCTGATAAAGGTGGTGATGGGAAAATCTGGGAATTGGAATTTTGAGAGAAATTAGCAACTATTAATCAATCCATGAACATTGAAACCTGAAAAGTTTTTTCCATTACTATTTCCCTTTCAGAAAATTGTCACAAATGTGATATTTATCCTATTCTGAAAATTGTTCTGAAATAGTTTTAAAATAAAGGAATAGAAAGAGATGAATGAATAAACTTAAAACAACACATATATAACCCATCACCTCCTTAGAATGTCCTGAAGTGTATAACATCCAAAAAAACGCAAATGGAAATTTTGTTCCTGTAAGCATAAAATGATTTTTTTCTAAAGCTTTAAGAAATTCTGCAGAAATTTTTCAACAATCATTGCCTTTCCACATACCAAAGTACTTGACGTTGATGGAAAACTTGATAAGTGACTGTGATTTGACAGACCAGATGATGTTCTCCAATATTTCAATGAGTCAATGTCTGCGGAGACAAAATGAAATGTTACCACGTATCAAAACTATTTCATAGTTGTTGCTATTTGTACGTGCGGATTTATGCTGGTGAATCACGTAAAAACGTAGAAGATGCAAGATATTCCTGAGGAACCAATTAAGACAAATCCAGACAATACATTTGCAATCACAGTGGTCATTTGTACACTGCTTATTTAAGAGATTTAAAGATTATTTGCAATATCAGTCCATCATCTTTATCGGATAGACTGGCCTTTAAAAGTACTGAATGGTCACGAATAGGATTTATGAATATTCAAAACACATTTTGTGTGTTAACAAGTCAGTTGTAGCATGATGAGTTTAATTCAAATTTATGAGTTTGCACTTAAATGATTCGTACAAAGATTACACTTGTCCCCATTGAGAAGACTTGATTCTTTGAGAAATATTTCATTCATATAAGGCAGTTTTTGACTCCACTTACACTGCATGCTCTGTAACTAGTTCTAATCCATTAAGTTTAATAGCCTGGCCTTTTACAAAAATTGGTATCTGACATTATCTGCACTTCAAAACAACATGAAACATTAGAATTTTACTTATTATCCTGTGATAGTACATAGAATCATAATCATATCATGGTTAAAGCATGGAAGGAGGTCATTCTGTCTGCTGCGTTCATGTCAGCTGTATGCAAGAGCAACCTGGGCAGCCACATTTGCCCACCTTTTCCCCTTAACCTGTAAATCTTCTGATAATTACCTTACTTCCTTTGCAAGCCCTGAATGAATACACCTCCATCACACTCAGGCAGTACATTCCTAATCACTTACTGCACATTTTTTCCCCATGTGAATCTTTTGGTTTTTGCCAAAACCTTTAAAGGAGTACCCTTAGCTACAGAACTATTCCTGTAAATCTTCTTTGCAACTTCTCTGATGCCTTCACATCCTTCTTGAAATGCGGTCACAGAATTGGGCGCAATACTCCAGTGAAGGCCTAACCAATATTTTATAAAGGTGTCACTATAACTTCCTTGCTTTTGTATTTAATGTCTATATTGTATTTATAAAGTTTAGAAGCCTGCACATCTTACAAACTGCTTGCTCAACCTCTTTTGCCATCTTCAAGGTCTGACCATGTACACTCCCCTCAGAACTGTATTATTGTATATTGCCTTTCCTCATCCTTCCTGCCAAACATATACACTGATCTGCATTAAATTTCATCTGACATATGATCATCCATTCTACTAGCCTATGTTCTTTTGAAGTCTGAAACTATCTTTCTCCTGATTTAAAATGATTCCAAGCCCTAAATCCACATGTCTCAATCACTTAAGGTCAGAAAATCACATGATACCAGGCTATAGCCCAACAGGTTTAGTTGGAAACACAAGCTTTTGGAGTCTTACTTCTTCTTCAGGCGTTAGTGATCTTGACCACCCCAGTCCAACACTGGCACCCGACATCTAGGTCATATGGATCAAGAAAGACATATCGATCCTAGTGGTGTCCTGGGAATCCCACAATATATTGTCCTTCGGTCTGAGAGGTAACTTTCACCGCTAGTGTGTTTTCTATCACTCAGCCAACTTTATATGAATTCTATTCCACGAGCTACATCTCTGACAAACATGTTACGTGATACTTTTGGGAGTCCATGCAAGTGTAAACCAAAATCAACATGCAACTCCAGTCCAACACTAATGCGGCGAATTTTAACTGCCTCTGACATTGCCTAGCAATCCATTGTGTTCCATTAAAGAGAAGTCGACTACCATCTTTCCACCACTATGAAGGATGGGCAGCAACATGAATAAATTGCAAATGGGTGACAATATTGGTATTACAAGAGGTCCATGAGCTGATCTTAAACAAATTTGATGGCATGGTACTTTGAACCAACGTTATGCTGTACTTGAGTTGACATCTAATCACCTCTACAGAGTTTTGCCTCCTATCTGGGATCCTGTGGCCTTGGCTATAGTATATACCTGCAGACGTGCTTTAACAAATCTTAATAAATTAATTGTTATAAAGAACACAACAAATTTAGATCACAAATCTCCAACCTCTTTTTTTTTCATCCTTATAACTTAGATGATGCAAACAAGATATGTTCTGAGAAACCATATTTGATTACTTGGTAAGGGCAAGCAGGGCAAAGATCCAGGAAGCTAAAGAGGCTAGGGCAAAAAGGCAAAACAAAAAGTTGACAGTAACAGGTAGCAATTAGAGAATGGAAAGACGAAGAGGCTACACCAAGATGATGGTAGAGACATAATGCAAAAAGAGCCGGTGCTGAAGGTGAGACTCAGACAAAGGTAAACATTGGACTACAACAAAGTGGGGAGAAAAAAAGAGACATCTTGATTACATTGTACAAATTCTTAAGTACAACTGCCACCCAAAAATGAATCACCTGACCCACTGAATGTTCTTATGGAAAAGTAACAAAATAAGAAACCTTCTTGTAAAGGAAAAGATATTAAACTAAATGAGTAGGATCCTCAAAAGATCTCTGTTTTGAGTCAAGAAGAAAGTAGTTCTAATAGGATCTATCATGAAATATTTCGTGCTCCAACAGATACTCAAAATGTGGGGAGTGATACAATAGATGTTGCCGATGGTACTGATGATAAAATATTCAGTGTGCTAACAAATGTTGAGTAAATACATGCAAATGTAGATTTTGATCCTAAGGATTTGGAGTGACATGGAAGATCCAAAAAAAATGTTTAGAAAAAATTGAATGATAAAAATTCTATAACTAATTTAACTAAAGTCAAACCAAGTAAAACAAAGCAAGTGAAAGTAAATTCATTGTGAAAATAAATATATATATTAAAAATTGAATGAATTTGGTTGTGTTTCATATTTGTGTGATTGAAATTATAAATTAAAATAATTGTGAGAAATAATGTAATAAAGTGAATTGTTGAACAAAATCTGTTTTGCAGGTTTAACACCAATCTTATTTAGTCCATATGCCCATAGGGAGAATATCTTTGTTTCTTACTTCATAAAAAAATCATTCTGCACACTTCATATTTAAACTTGCATTCCTTTTTGGAGGACGGGGAGCCCAGCTTGTCCGAAAAAAAGAAGTAAATCCTGAGCTTTTTCTTTCCGCAGATGTTGCCAGGATTCAATAGATCCAGTACTTTCTCTTTATATATATTTTTTAAATGATTCACATATACTCAGTGCACAGAGTTCCACATATTGGTCAAATTATAATTACTATTTTAACTATTTTAACTTCTATCTTTGCATTTTATATTTAAAATAAAACCTAACACATTTTCTTTTTCTGGTATCAACCTGCCTACCAGTTGAAACCACCATTTCTAAATTTCAGTCCCTTAAAATAGAGATCTTTTGTAAGAAATATGATGGGATCCTTAAAACAATCAGCTTAAACTCCTTGCACGTTTTCAGATCACAGCGTAGAAAGGTTGTAAAAAGTGACATAAGTTACCAACAGATTAAGGGGCAAATACTGAATTGTGTTAACTTATCTGCAAACACCAGGAAATAAAACTGGAAAACTAATGTTGATGAGAGATGGAGAGGGTATAGGTGAGGAAACGTTAGACATTAAATTAACATTATAGACCAAACTCTCATCATCCTAAACCCCACATGAAACAATTTTGCTTCCTATTTAAAAACTATTAATTCTTTGAAGTATGTAAACTGCTACAATCATAATAATCAGATGCTTAACCTATACTAGGTTACTAAGATTACTTAGTACATTGAACAAATATTTTGGTTTATGACTTCAAAAGTTAGGACAGCTTCTTTCCATTTATCTACAATACCAAATTTATAGTATTTTGAACACGAAACTATACTGACAAAAATCAAACAGGTTTGAGCTCCTCTTCCTTTATTTTATTACTCGCGTAAACATTTGTTGAATCAAAGCATGCTTTTATCATCAAAGTTCAAAAATAAAATACTTAGGGCATTACTATTCTTAAAATTCATACCTTCTAAATTGCCGTTGGGAAAATTGATGCCAGTAGGTTTTGGAAAATTCAAATCGAACATGTATCTTCCAAGATAGCACTGCTTTGCCATATGAGCCACGCGCTCATAGAACTGGCAGTGATACAGCAGAGCCTGGACAGCAGGCAGCCCAACCAGTGATAAACCAGACGCTTCATCATGAACACATGGACTCTATGAAAATGAAATGTAATCAGGCAAGCATGAAACTCAACCCAAGAATTCACAAAATTCAAAACATAACGGAATAGGCTTCCTTACCTTTTTGATTTAAACATATACTGTCCACTATTTTCTTTGGGACTATTCCACATACTACAGCATATACCTTCACCGTATACTTATTAAATTATGTATAATTTTGGTTTAAAAACTTTCATATCATTATGAAAAGGTAGATGATTTGCTTTAAAGGATAGTCATTCAAATTAAAGAATATCCAATGTATCATTGACAATTCAAAAACCTATCTGGGACAAATCAGTTTCCTACTCCACTATGATCATTGAAAAGACATGGACTTATCTCTTGCATCAGATTCTTTCACTTCTAGGCACATAAATGTGGTTGCTCAGCAAGTAAATCCAAATGATTTGTTTCATATTTGGCAAAATAATGAGCTCAATAATTGCCTCAATGCAATTTGATGCATTGAACTTGCTCACCAGTCACTGTTTTCTATGCAAAATAAAAATCAAAAGAACTGTGGATGCTATAAATCAGGAACAAAAACAAAGTTGCTGGAAAAGCTCAGCAAGTCCGGCTGCATAGAATCATAAGAGTTAAATCTGATTCATCTGCATGTGAATACTAGAACAGAAGAGGCCTCATGGCCTTTATCTGCGCTGTAACTTTTTATGATTCCGATTGCTACCTACACAAGTCTTTTAG